GGCCAGAGGTCTGGAAGCAGGCTAGAATGACATCACAGACTATGTCGCATTGGCTGATTCAGACTCAGACTGAGTTATGGGCTGAGCTGACACTGGGGTTTCTGCGGCCATCAAATGAGCCCTGCACTTGGGGGCAGAGGGTTCTAATCTTGGCTGTATTCCTTCCCAGTTGAGCGGCCTGAACAGGTCACTTAATTTTCCTGGATTGTATTTCTCTCACCCAGAAATAAGGTTCACACTGCCTAGAGCATGTGATTTTGTGAGAATTGCCTGAGAAAGTCTGGGTGAATGCTGTGGTGTTTGGCACATGGAAATTCCCAACAGGTCTGTCCACTTGTCCCGTCTCGTAGTCGGCCTTCAGCGGGGATCTATGACATGATGACGGATCTTCGGTCCAGCACCCTACATGCCAGGCAAAGTGGCATGGGCTGTGTGGCCCCGCTGGCTATACGACAGCTCTTATTTAATGCATCAAATATTTCATCTAAGCAAGAGCCTTGGGAGAAGGCCCAGCTTGCAACTCCAAAATTTAGCACAATGGGTCTCGGAAAAACCCCTCTGGTCCCCATGAATCCCTTTCTCCCTATCCCGGGAGTTTCACATGGGTGTGAAAGCGACCCTCGCATCCCATCCTTTTTCTGAGCTGCTGACACAGACCCCCACCGTGTCTCCCTCAAACATTATCTACAGATCCATCCAACAGCTGTATTTTGGGTCTTGTTCAAAACCAGATGTCAGAAAAAGTCGAAGTCAACCTTTTCTTCTCTCCCAACATAAAATAAAGGTCAAAGACATCCTGATCTCATGGTTTAGGCACCAAGTAAATGACCAGAACTCTGTCCTATGGCCCCAACAGCCAGGCAGCTCAAGCCCTTGGGAGGCAGCTTAGCCCTGGGGCCCACTGCAGGGCTCTGCCTCTTACTATTTGTTGCACCTTGGACAGAAAACCCCTTTGCCTCCAGGCCTCCGTTTATTTGGCTATGAAAGGCAGATGGTGCTTATACTAGCACCTCGCTCACAGGGCTGGGGTGGAATTACCTACATGACTACAGCACAGGGACCTGCACTGAGTGACCACCTGAGGGCTGGGAGCCATCTCTCAGCCAAGGTGCCCCTCCCTCACTAGAAGAATGGCATACAGGTGGCAACTGTTCATTCCACCCACAGTCAAGAGGTAGAATAAGAGGCACTTTCTGGGTATTGGAGATTCTCTTGCCATCTATAAACGTGTCCAAGGGTCACGGCATTATCTCCTCTCTAAGGCTCTTCTGGGTTAAACGCGGGATAGTTCTGTGACCTGGAATTAGTGTTTGGCACAGAAACACAAGGGCAGTAACCTAGTCTTATCCCCATGTGGCGCTCCCAGCACTTAGCGCTGGCCTTGCATTGAGAAGTCTTAAGATGTGCCAGCCGGCTGGCTGCCTCAGGGGTGGCTCTGTCACCTCCCTCCCCAGAGCACCAGGAGCACAAAATGAAGTCCTTCTGTTTGCTGCCTGTGTGCTCTGGCTCGCAAGGCTGTACTGTGCCGCCATCATAAGACTAGCAGGATAAAAGAGCCCCAACTCGGCCAACATTTTCAATGGCAAGGGCAACGAGGAGCTCTTTGAGGATTCAGTCAGGAGGGCCACAGAGCCAACCTTCGTGGAGGCCCCTGATGTGGGGAGATGACTTAGCACCAGAAGTGGCCTTGGCTGATTTAAACAAGGAACCAGGAGCAGGGCGGGGGGCGTTGGGGGTGATTCATTGCACCTCAGGGATTCAAGCTTAGCTTCCTGGGGTGGGGGTGGGGGTGTGGCATGCAAATGAATCCTTGAAGGGGATGACTTACTCATTTTTAAAATAATAATAATGATGATGATGGTGGTGGTGGCTTTCCATGTGCTGGGCGCATGCTCACAGGATAAGAAGCCAAAATAAGACATGATCCTCATCTTTAAGGACTTTGCAGACTGGGACAGGGCACCGACAGGTGGAAAAACAGTGTGTGATCCGCTGCAGGATGGTGGCCATCACAGAGGTATCTGCCCCAGCAGAGGAGGGAGAGGGTGCTCCGTGCAGGTTCCTGGGGAAAGCCTCACCTGTATAGCTGGGTTGCAGAAATTGCCCAGGGAAGAGGAAGGAAAGACATTCGATGTTCAAAGGCACAGGAGAGATGCAGGTGGGGAATCAGCTCCTAATTCAGGTACGTAGGGAAAGCTGGGGGGGCAGGGAGTGGGAGCAAATGGGACTGAGAGGCAGCAGGGACCAGAGCCGGGAGGGCTTGGTGTGCCACACTCTGCCCCTGACTTTGACTTTGTAGGCCACAGGGAACCACTGAAGAGCTGCAAGTAGCTGCAAGTAGCTGCAAGCTGGGGCGGGTCTCTATTGAAGCTGGTCGAGGAAGCTAAGCATCTGGGCTTTGGGATGCAGGAGGAGGCGGAAGAGGAGGCCAGGGTCTTGAGTGCCTTCACACCTGGGCCTTGGCCAGGTGGGAAGCATGAGATATGCCACGTGGGCAGCATAGGCTAGCACCTACAGGCCGGCGTGCACCTCAAGTTGCCTACCCGGTATCTGGGGAACACCTGCACAAGGAGGGCAGCTTTGCAAAGCTGTGAATCCAGGCTCCAGATTTGCAATGATGGAAACCCTGGGAAACATCAAAAGAGAGTCCTAGCGAGACCAAGATGTGGTTCATCTCGTCTACACCCCCGTCTTTCCATCAAGTGTAAGCCACCGAGGCAAGGTTATGAGCTTTCTTCGTCTCTGGCCTCCCTGGCATCAGGCATGGGGCTTTGTGTTCAGTAAGTGAAAACCGCCAAAGAAAGCCATGCCTGACTCATCACCCAAAAAGCAGAGTAAGGCGTGGCAGGCACTCACCATTAGTATGCAACCTCTGGCTTTGTTTAAACTGAGGGCTACTTTAGAATAAAACCGAATCACAGCTCCAAGTTGACAGGAAGTCAGAATGACGCCTCATGTCAGTATCAATGGATCAGATGTAGGGCCTGGGCTCTGGCACCAAACCTCCCAGCTTTGAGTTCCATTCTGCAACTCACTGGCTGTGTGACCTTGGGTGATGACTAACATCACTGAGCTCCGGGTTCTTGATATGTAACAGAGGGAAAGTCATAGGCCCTTCCTCACAGGGTTACTGAGGAGTTCAAATGAGCCGAATGCACACATGCCCCACACATACTAGCTATTGTTTACATGACTGTTTCTATTTCTCTTTTTATATGGTTTTGATAGCCTGGGAGAATTGTGCATCCAGAGAGCACTGACTTCAAGAGAAGGAAGAAGAGGAAGAAGAGGCGTACTGATGGCTATGAGATGCCACAGAATCATTTCATGTTGGAACAAAGGTGCCCTTTGTTTCTAGAAGGGTCAACATGTTTGCTCGACAATCTTGGACTACAGACAAAAGCAAAATCAATATCCTGGATGACTGTGTCTAAGGCCAAGTCCAGATGAATAATGCTATCAGGACAAGCACAGCAGGATGGCCCAGCCGCTGGCACGTCCTTGGCTGGGCCTGCCTTGGCAGAGTTCAGACGGAGTCACCGTCGTCATAAACGTAACCCTGCACCAGAAGCCTCCAAGATTCTCTCAGGCTCCATGAGAGGAGGAAATCAGTGCTCCAGAATCCACGAGATGCTCACTTGGAGGGAAAGCCCGTGGTGTCTACGACCTGAATGAACATTTGTTTTCGAGAAACTAAATCACCCAAGTGTGGGACTTTGCATGTGTCAATTTGCTTTTCTAGGCTTCCAGGTTTTTTGTCTTTTTTCATACATAACACAAGAGAATTGGACCAGATTTGCACTGACTGGAACTAGGTATTAGTGTATTTTCCACCTTAGAAACGTTCTGATGTTTCCTTCAAGTACCAAAGACCCATCCTACTCACATAAGGCTTAAACAAAAGCCTTTCCCAGTCAAGGGGGTGAGCTGGTGTATGGTGTGAATGGAAACCAGGGAGGATGTCTGGACCCATCGGATGGTGCTTCTTGAACCTTCGACCTGAGCCCCTGGAGCCGAAAAAGATCAGGACTTGGAAAGGACACCACACCTGGGTCTACAGGCCCAAGAGCTCACTTTCCAGGCACTGAGAGTCATCACCCATGGGCGTGGTCAGGAAGCAGGCCTTCCGACAGACTGAAAGACTCTTATCTGCAGATACGTGTGGGCCACAGCAGGCCAGGAAGGGCCAGTGCCAGCCCCACATCTCACCATCTTCTACAAAGCTCTACTTTAAAAAATGCTTCCTGGGGGGAGAAAAAAAACGAACACTCTTTGTAACAAGGAAAATGACAACAACAATAGTCATAATAATGAGAAAAGCCAAATAAGCACATGTAAGTGCGTTTCTTTTCTTAGAGATTTATTTTTGTTTGATGAGTCTGACACCGGTCAGGGAGAGAGGAGAATGTGCTAAGCCCAGCAGGAGCACAAGCACCCAGAGGAGGGCCGCTTCTTCCTGCAGGGGGGTGGGGTGGGG